AAAACTTATCAGTCACTTTATTGGAAGGGGGGAGCGTTGGCAGACGATTTGACAGTGGCCTGCGAAAACTCCACCTCGTCCTTAGAATTGCGAAGAGTGTTAGAGGAGTACTGTTCTTTACCGGAAGCCTTGATTAATTGGTCGAAGTCGGTTTATTTTCTACCTCCCCTGTTTGAGCTGAAAGTGGACTGGGGCCTGACTGGGGCCTGAGGATAATCCCGACCGAGAATTCGGAGCGGTTCCTGGGAATGTTGGTTTCACTGACAGATTGCTTCAACACCCATGACCAGTTGTTGTCAAAAAAGGTCTCGGCTAGGATTAATGGGTGGTTGAGAAGCTATAAACTCTCCTTTTATGGACAGGCGCTAGTCCTTTCTTCAGCCGCCTTTTCAATTTTGTGGTTCCCCTTATTTGTCTTCTGGGAGCGGAGGCATACAAAGAAATAAAGCTAGATGCTGCCAGATACCTGTGGAAGCCCGAAGCGTCAGAGGAACAAGGCTTCATTCACAAGGTAACATGGAAAGTCATAACCAGGCCACGTGCACAAGTTGGTCTGGGCATCTTAACCCCCAATCGCAAAACTGGGCTCTCTTGGCAAAATGTATCATCAAGGCCTGCTTTGAGGATCGGATGAAAATCTGGGTCCGTTTGGCCGAGTATATACTCTGCAAAGAATGGGACCTTTCGCTCTCCCGGGAAGTTTGGCACTGCTGCATGCTACCCAGCTTTCAGAACCGTCGTATCAAGTCCAGAGTGTGGAAGGGCATACTATATGCATGGAAAAAGATCTGCCCTCCCCCGAATGCCCTTCCTCTTACTACATTGGAAATAGCGAATCTCAGTTTGTTCGACCATCCCCTGATATGCAATGAAGATGAGGGCCCATTCTCGGCAGCCGATGGCCCGAAAACTTCGGCTGGGCCTGGATCGAAAAGGGGATCTCAAGAGTGAAACATTTGTGGGATGCGGATACAGACGATTGAGCTTCGGAGGAACTGCTGAGAGCAAAACTACCTCGGCTGCGGAATGTAGTATACAAAAATAGAATACTCGCAGCCTTCCCCCGAGAGTGGGCGGGGCGGATGAAAGAGAATGCAGAACATGCGACAGATACATGGGTGGCCTCGGACAAAGAGTCGTACAGATTTTGGAGGATCCTGAGCCCATAGCCGGGGCTGGGATGGAAGGTGGAGGAATGGCAAGTTGGCAACAACAGCGAGTAGGCAGTTAGGGAGGAACCGGAAAGGGTGGGGAGTGTGCTGGAAGTAAGAGCGGAGGCAGTATTGATAAATCTGTTTCACAAGGACAATGAGAATGTGCTCACCAGATTCTTCCTGGATTCGGTGGGTTGGTATGAGAGCACACAACTTTTCGGAATGAGGGTGTTGTCTATTAAAGAAACCTGGGTAGCCTTCCTTCCGGGCAACCCGCTGTCAGACTTGTCCTTTGACCTGGAAGAGTGGCATTGAACAACACCATTCACCTAGCCGGTCTGGAGGTAAGCACCACCTACAAGATGCTGCGCCCTAGAATAAATCTCAAGGACATCGTAAGGAATTGATGGATGATGCAGATGAGTGTTGGGAGGGAAGTGGTCCGGGCCATTCGCTGGTTTACAGCAACCAGGACCAGACTGGCCAAACTGGCCTGGCTGCAGTGGCAGATAGAGCACCGCTGCCTCCCCACCAACGGCTTGCTGATCGACCGTACGAACCTGGAACAGAGGGGGGTGGCAGTCCCATGGTGTAAGTCCTGCCAAAACAGCTTTCCCTCGTGCAAAATTGCATTTAAAGTGCCCGGGCGCAGTCCTCACGTGGTGCTTGAGGCACCTTATATGGTGCCAGTGAGGCATCAGTGCCGTCTGTCCATTGGAGTGGAGAGCACTGCTGTGCGGAAGGTGGCACTCGTAGGATAGCACCTTTTTAGGAGAACATGTTTAAGCTAGGAAGGAGGGTGGTCCTCTGGGTTCTGTGGCGGAAACGATGTATATATCTACTACATTCTATTAAAGTTCTTACGACTGGGACCAGACCGTGCCCATCTTTGAGATGGGGCGTCCGATGAGCAGCAATTTTTTTTGCCTCTATCGACAGCTTGCCTGGAAACGCGACTGAGAAAAAGGCAACACAGGCAGCACAACTATATATCTCACCGCAAAAAAAAAAAAAGGAAACACACACCAACGCTCCATGTCTACAATACTAAAGAAACCGCTATAGGCCGATCACTTGAACGAGAGGCTGTTGCATACTCGTGAAACACAGTCATAAGTATGGCGCAGATTCCCAGAACCGACCAGATAATACAGAGTAAGTACAATTACACAATTACAACGGAAGACTTGATACACATGGGCTGACTCAAACCTGACTCAGACTGCAGCCAATCCCTCACAAACATACATCGGTGGTGTGAAAGCCCTGGCCTTGGACATGGAAGAAAAGGCAGGGCCAACTCTCATACACATATGACTTGATACACATGGACTGACTCAAACCTGACTCAGACTGCAACCAATCCCTCACAAACATACATCGGTGGTGTGAAAGCCCTGGCCTTGGACA